GCTGTTGATGAAGAACATGGTTTTGCAATACATATTAATATATTTTGGTACTCTCAATTTTATCCCCTTAACTGCTTGAAGGGTAATAAAAAAATAGCGTGAGGACGTTTTATATTATCTTTATCCAGTGTTTATATTTCTTTTTAGCTCTTACAGCATACCTTACCAAAAAATTGTCTTGTGTGGTCTCCAATACTCCAAAACATGTCAAAATTCTTTGCCGAATATCTTCTGTTAATTTCCCATTACATTTTTGCCAACAATTTACGGGGCAAGAAGTTTTTATAACTCTTATACCATGTACTCTTCCGTTTCTTCTGACATCTTCCAACCCTCTATTAACATTATATTTCCTCTCCCGATCCTACCATTTTATAAAAACGTTCCCTTAGCTTTATTTTATCTTTTTTAGCAATTGAAAGCCGCCTACAACGTATGACGTTCTTTATTAATTACGTATTAATTACTTAGAGCATTTTCTATGACTGATGGCAATCGAACTTCTTTTTGAATTTCGATAAACGAGCAAGGAGTATTATAATCAGGGAATAATATTATGGAAGCGTTGGAAGGGATATTCTACAATACATCTATGCTATCATTCAAATCAATTTCATCAGTATTGACAGCTCCTCTTCTGTAAAATTTGTATCAGGTGGCAAAGGAAACTCTAAAACAAACAATAATTTAAATTAAAAACAGAAGAATTCATATTTTTGTGTTGAACATGTCAATAACAAGTAACAAAGTATATAACAGATAAAAAAATGTGTATTATAACACAATTAATACAAAAATATCAAAAGTTTAATTAGTATATTATTATAGCCAGATGAGTCAAGTGTCTTCTTTATAACGTTATTTCGCCGTATACTAGTGTAACTAAAGTTGTATCAGTATACGGCGTACTAAGCAACATGAACAACAATTATCAAACAGAAATTACAAAATCACACTAATACACGTAAAATAAAGATAACTTACCATTTTCATCCCTGTTTTGCATTGTATCACCGATTCCGGAGTTATTTTATTGTTTTATTGGTATTATTCACATTGTCGTTGAGTAAATTACAAAAAAATCACTCCCCCCACACGTCCGGCGTACACTGGTACGACATCATTTGGATCAGTATACAATGTACGATTTTAACTGATGTTGAAATTGATTTAGTATACGTGAAAATATCTCGGTAATTCTTGTTCTTTTTTATTTATTTTTAACACTAACATCAAGATCATGGTTTAGTATGTCCGTTTATGTAAAAATATTAAAATACCTAAATTTGTTAGATGACTCAGTATACTTAGGAGGTATCGATATATTCTGGATTTAATACCCTGACACCGAACATAAGAACATGCTTACTACATAATTATCTATCCTGAATGGAAATCCACCCACGACCTTGGTTTAGTAATTAAGATTACTAACTAGTAGAATGGGAAAACTATCAAAACATAATAAATTACAACTAACAAAATCGCTTAATTTTCAGCCAGACAGAAGTGTTTTATTTTGTAAGTGAATCTGAACTCAATTACATACATAAACAGTTGTTATTAATCTAAATGTAAAAAAGACTTACTACCTATCTAAACTGCGAGGAAAACACTTCTGTGAACCTAAGAAGATTTTCTCAAAACAAAAATATAAGTTATCGTACGTAATTTTTTGTGTAAACAGTAATTCCAATCCGCTTATAGTGTTTGTTTCTTTACGATGGGAAAACTTTATGTTTGTGATATTGTAATCCAACTCGACTTTATAAGTACTATTTTATTTACCTGCTATCGTGGGAGACTATACGCGGAAAAGGGTACCACGGTAACAGGTGGTCTACACCCGTTACCGTGGAGTACGGAAACCTTAAACCCCTCCAGATCAGAGCAACATAAAAAAGGTCCCCGCCTACTTTTCAACATTCACAATTATTTTAATGATTTCATCCTGAAATATTACCATTGTTGAATTACCTTGAAAAACCTTTTTAAATTCATTCAGATTTTGAGAGAAAGAAAATTGAATGCATATATTTAGGACCCAATAGTTTACCCAGTGACACTCGGTCAATAAAGAAAAAATTAATAAAAATAATATATAATAATATATAATAATAATAATATATAATAATGTTAAATTAATAATAATAATAATAATGTTAAATTTGCATGCTATCTTTATGGCTAAATGGGCCTGTTCGCAATATATTGAACCTTTAATACCACAACATGTACCACCCCATTTATAGCAAATATATGATTTGAATTTGAATTTGAATTTAACGACATAAAACAGTCATTAAAATCCGAAGATTGACATTTAAATATTTAATTTACTTTTCATAATTTATTTGTAAAGGATTAATGAACATTAATTAATCAATTAATGATAAGTAAGTCTAAAAAAGACATTACATTAATTTAATATCCTAAATTATTTTTATTTAACTTTATAGTGTTTCAGTGTCAATCTTGATTCTGATTTTGATAAACTACACTGTATAATTTTGCATGCCTTACGGTAGGAACACTTCAAACATGTAATTTTCTAACACTATCGTAACAGTGTTTTCTGCAAAAATAAATAATTTTATTTTGGTATTATCATTAAATAGACAGAGAGACAGCCACCAGCCACAGTACACAAGTAAAAAATAAACAGTATCTGGTCAAACAACTGGCAGAATCAACTTGCTAGTGTTTTCTATCGAATTGTTATTAGTATCTATATACATATGTATTTTAATGTATATACTTATGTATAATATGTGTAGGTTTACTATTTAATAGGGTTGTATATATGTAGAATTAGATATATATATGTGATTTTGTATTCAGTATACATTGTTAAATTTTGTTTGCATAAAATCAACTGTAAACAAAATGCACCTTCATACTTCCTGCTTTCCAGAGAATACAGACATACATCACCCAATGCACTGCACAGATGCCGTAGTGGTTCCTACTGCGCTGAGTGTTGTGGGTTCCACGATACAGGATTATATTCCTAGTATGCATCAAATGTGCGTGATGTGTAAATAAATAAATTATCTTCAAAGTCACTTGTTGCAGAGTGACAAAGCCCAAGCACAGAAAACCGGTGTTAAGCAATTCTTTCGTTGCCTTGAGTGAGTGAGTGAGGTTACCGGAGCCCAAATCCTCCCGTTGACTCCAGTGGGAGGGACTCCAAGGGCGGCAACGTACTTGTGACTTTTGAGTTCCAGGTGTCCATTGGCGGCGGTAGTTGCTTACCATCAGGTGACCCGTCTGCTCCTTTGCCCCCTTATACCATAAAAAAAAACAAGAGAAAACTATTAACTATCTTATATTATATATTAATTATATATATATAAACTCTTCAACGTTCGAAACGACTTAAACCAAATAAGAAGCTGTCAAAACGTTAAATTCAACTTTTTGACAATGAAATCGTAGACCTCTGTGTGCCTTTAGCCGTCCGAAGAAAACATGGTGACATTTTGAGAAGTTTCTCAGTTTGATTTTGCTTTTGTAGAAATAATTCACTACACATTAAAAGCCATCCATCAGCTAAATACCCCTTTGCGTGTGTGGTCGGATCCTTTACCACGCTTTCCTTTTCTACCCTAGTGATGGTTAATTCTACGTACTTTATTATCTGTTGATTTCCTTTTATCTCAGTAATGGAATACCTTTTACTATGGTCTAATTGGACCATAAGGAAGGCCTTCGTTCATCAGTGGACTTTTCTCTTTTTGAAACATCCTATCCCAAACTTTTTAGATTACTTTGAACCTGATATAATTGAGGTGATTGTGTATTTGGATTACAATAATTACAAGCTATGTCTGTAAGTGATAGCAGACTGTGATAAGACTACCCATTGCAGTTATGATACCAAATATTAATTATGTTCTATTTTTGTATTCTATTTTTGGTATGCATCATATGTGGTATTGGTGGTGGTGTATTTTTTTATGTTAGAGGGGGCAGACGAGCAGACGTGTCACCTGATGGAAAGTGACCAACGCCGCCCATCAACGTCTGCAACTCAGGAGTCACAAACGCGTTGCCGGCCTTTTAGGAAGGAGTGCGCTCTTTTCTTGAAGGTAACCCTGGATGGATGATTTTGCTTATTTAGAATATTTGTATAAAGAGCAAAATCATCTTGATTTTTAATGTTTTACTGTCTCGTTTCCACGCCTTAAACACTTAAAAGAGCATCGTAAAATTTTATATACCCATTAGGAACACTGAAAGCACATACGGCTAAATAATGTTCTCGACAAAAAGTACAGTTTCAAAAAAAATCTTTATTTTCTCTTCTCAAAAAAGAAATCTTTCTTTTCTCAAGATTTGTTTCTGTACATAAAGAAATCTTGAGCAGAACTAGTAATCTCATAAATATAAAAGATTTTATCATAGTTAATTTACTTGTTTTTTTTTATTCAACAATGGCTGCGAATTTTGAGGTTCTAAAAAATTTAATACACATGTCTGTTTACGATATTATACTTAATTCCTGGGAAGACACTAACGTCTGATATACAGGCTAGGCCTAGATTAGACGTCATGGATTTTCGATTCTTATAAACACCCAGTTCATGAGTACATCATAACTATTTAAATTGAATGTATTATTGTGGTGTTGGTATTAGTATTTTTGGCAGAGGAAATAGTTACCTAATCCTAGGTGAGCTCCAAACAATGATAATGTTTATGCATTACATCACCTATATCAATAGTTTGTAGCAAAACAAACAATAACAACCTTTGATTCAAAATCATTATATCATGATTAGTCAGAGGTATGTTTTAGAAAAGTATTTAGTGATCAGTTTAGATGATTCGAGCTCAGTGTCTTTAGTAGCTTTAACAGCGGGTGTAGTCTTCATAAGTGAATAGACTACTTTTTAGCTAATACAAAAATTGTTGTGTGTGTAGGCAGTTTATAACAAAGCTTCTGACAGTCTGTAAACTTCATTCGATTCGTTGGAAAATATCAGTTCAAAGTTACAATGGACTTCGATCAATTTCTTCAATATATTGTTATATGTAAGTTAAAGTAGAAAATACTGCAAACCTATAGTATGTTTTTGTGCTCTTTGTGCAATTTATGTATCTTTATTTAATATTTATTATATTCTTCTTAGCTACCAGTGCATCAAAGATTCCAGTTGTTTCGTCATCATTACAATTTACCTGTCTTATTCCTAATTGTCTTATTCGCTGGTGCGAGAAGCCCAAAAGCGATCTAAGTGGCGTGCAATGGGAGAGGCCTATGTCCAGCAGTGGACTGCGATAGGCTGATGATGATGATGAAGATGATGATGATGATTCCTAATTTCAGTTAATCCTATAATTGGATAGTTACTAGGCAATAGACGTCAACGTTTTCACCTGTTAACACTCGAAGATTTTATTAAATTTTCTGTATTGATAAAAGTTAATAATGTGTTAATTTATTTCAGCGTTTCTCTGTCGGGATCCAGACACTGGCAAGCTTCATACAGTTAATTCAACATGGCCGTCAAGCACCTTCTGCGGCAACTATCATTGTAAACTTCGAAAGAAAAATATGACTGAAAATGATTTGGAGCCCGTGAGACAAATTAATTTTACAAATTTCGATAAAGATACCGATATACCTAAAATTGAATTACTTCTAAATGACGATGACTATCTACGAAAAAATAAAAATATTAATGTAATAGGTATTAACCCAGCAACAGATCCAAAGACTAATTTAACGCCTGGAAAATTACCTTCTAAATCTGGAAATGGTGACAGATACTTGACAGATAGTGAAATCAAAACGATATCGGCAATATTGCATACAGTGAAAAAAAGTGACTTGGAAGCAATAGTGGAAATTTATCAATTGGCTCAAAATATTTACGATGAAATTGATAAAACCAACCCCGAGGTCTTAATACAAGAAACTGTAAATGACTTAAACTTAAAAATTCCCACGACAATCAAAGGCAAACTGTTGAATGCGGATGAAACGAAACATGTTTCTTACTGGTACGATCCCATTTCAAATAATAATAAACCCCAATCACTACATATTGTAAAACCGAATTCTAAATCGAACGGTAAGGTGTTTAAAACTGAAAAGCTAACAACAGTAAAGTCCATAAATCCGCCAAATGATTTCGGAAGAACAATCAGTTATTTCGACGGAGCTCTAACAACAAAAGATTTTGGTAGATTACCTTATTATTATCCTTTATCATTATTCCAAAGAGCTTCATCTTATATACATCAACCTTTAGTTGTTTCTAATACACCGTACGTGTCTACTACAGATAGGAATAAAATAACTCGAACGACTCAAACACCGGCTGCAAAATACAATAGAGGTCAAAAACCGGCTATATACTTACCATATCCATTTTTCAACGTACCCCACAATTACAATTTGACGTCCCCTAAAACTTTGTACCACAGTAAGAATTACGTTGATCGCTATGAAATGAGTTTGGATAAAGCCAAAGAGCAAAGCAAAAATGTTGTTTTAATAAACCCTGATTTAGAAAATATACAGGAACTTGGTGTAAAACGCGAGAAACTGGGAAGAAGTATATCGAAGATAATGAAACCCGATAAGAGCAAAGAACAGAAAACTACTCATGATTGGCAAACTGATCCAATATCTAGAACGATTTTAGACGAAGTGAGAGCGCATTTGGATAAGACGAGGTTCCTCAAGCCCTTGTCTTTAAGAAAGAAAATAAAACTGGAGAAGGTAGGGAGAGTGGTCAAATTAGATGAGTCTAATAAGAGAAATAAGAGGAGTTCTAAGGTGAAGGATGAAGCGGCGGATTTAGAGTTTTATGAAGTTTATCTTGATAAAACTACGTAAGTATACTTTTTAAATTATTTAGTTTCTTTAATAATTTTACTAATCCTGGTTGGTGAGCGAAAGGTTTTGGATTCAGTTTCCATACGGAACAAATAACGGTGTGTATTATTATATATTTATATGTGTATTTTATTATATATTATTATCAGTAGTGTATATTATTATATATTATAATGCCCCCCCCCCCCTCGACCTCCTAGAATCAAGAGCGGGGGCTTTGGGGGTTATAAAGCAACGAAAGAATTGCTTAAATACCGGTATTTTGTGAGGCCTTCGTATCACTCCGATCGAGCTGGCCCAAATGTGCTGAAACACGCCTTATTTACGATTAAAATTCAATTCTACTTATATACTATATATTTAATTATATATATTATATATTTAATTAATGTAATCTTTAAAAATTCTCTGAATTCATTCATAGACAAACTGATACTTTTACTTATCACGGCTTAAAATAAATATTCAAAAAAAAACAACCCATTCCTTTACAAACACAAACGTTAAGAACACCATGACTAAAAAACTTGACAAATTAGTAAAAAAAACATTGTCACAGGAATTCCGTCCCTTGTTAAAACATCCCTTACTAGGTGGCACGTTTTATCAAACAGGGTGAGCGATTTATCTGTGGTTACTTCCCATAGTTAAGGGGCATTAATAAATTAAAAAATACAGTAAATTTATACGCGGCTGAGCCAGAATATGATATAGGGTTTGTATTTTTCGTATATGTCTAAACAGTTTGATGAAATTTAGCTTGGGAGGTACCGTTTTATTCATCTTAATTATAAGTGACATTGAGTATTTGAAAATACTAAAAATAAAATGTTCTGCGACCTCCGGCGCCTGAGTCGTCTGCGGTACCTGACCCGTTCGCGGATCTGGCGGACCGGAAGAGTTCTAAATCTTCCACTGCGCCGTCTACTGCAGAGTTTCTCTCGCTCCGTACCATGACCGCATCCGCAATCATGTTACTCTCCGATGGCCGCCACGAGGTCACGCCTCTGCTAGACCCACGCCGGGCATTCTGCCAGCGTGTTAAGCACCAGAACCGTGTTCACGGTCCGGCCATCGCAGTGGTGACACCCAGGAGTTGGCTCCTTGTGGAGGTTACTTTTACCTAAACAATTGTTTAACTACATTACTTTGCGTTGGTTGAATTTTATTGCAAAGCTACGCATAAGTCAATTTATTTCTTTCTTTTGTCAGTAATTTTAATTCCATCTACTCGTAAAATAATTTAGTTTAAAACACACCTGTGGTTAAATTTAACCCATCGCGCTGCACTTCAGTCAATACACAATAATTAAAACTTTAACTCTAAAAGTTGAACGCTTCCCAGTTATCAGTTGTGAGCCAAAAACCTATTACAATTAAATTAAACTGACTCATTAAATTAACTCAAATTGAATTCATTTCAACAATGTAACGGTTATAACCAGTGGGAGCAGAATTGGTGTTGTGCCAACAATTGGGTACCTTTTTCACTCTAGGATAACACTGTTGTTTTTTTATATAAAAGATTTATGTGCAATACGTAAAAATGTACATAAAACTCGTATCTAAACTATTTTTAATGTTTTAAATATTGATAAAGTTGATCAAAAGCCTTTTATATATGCGGTTTTTAATAGAGCCAGGCGGTTTTCTAATTGTCACGATTTTCAATTTTTTGTCTGTCAATCAATTAAATAAAAGATGGCTGTCCTGGGTCCGGGGTGGGATTTGAATCCACGCCCTCTGACTTAGCAGTCAGGATTACTAACCATCGACCAATAGCTCAGTCAAATAAATATTACGGGATACGATTTGAAAACTGTAAATGCTAAATTATTTTTGCTCACCACAAGGGCTATGGTGAAAATCCTGGAGAACTTCTTAAAAAGTTATGACCTCCATCGTACAAAACAATATTTTTGTAAATAGCGCCGAGCAGTATACGTTAAGCATTTGTATCTCAAACTGATTCCACCTCTAAGGATGTAAAACTTGTTATAACTTATAATTATTTAGAGACACTGATCTCTCATGCATTTAAAAACTGTATTTTTTTTTTCAGATGCAAATCAGATTATTCTATCCCTGGATTCTTCAGATACGGTAATTTAAGTCAACCATTTCCCCAATGTTGCCCACAAAGAATAAAAGATTAATTTATTAATAATTATATAGCGCTAAATTGTACATACTGTAATAATTTATAAACAAATAAGAAATTTAACATAAGAATTACTTAACTGTACTAAAGATGTTAAGTTTTAAAAAGTATTTTTATTTTAATAAAGAAAAACTATGTTTTAACCTTAAAATACGTGTTGAAATTGAGACCAGCACGGTCATAAGTGCCTAGGACTTATTTGGACTATCATCTTCATAACTGACCAGAAGCGGTGCAATTCAGTCGAATAAAAACGGCATAAAAACCTTTTACATATTACTGCAAACCAAAGTTAAGATTTTAAAAACAATTGTTTGTAAGAAGTATTTAATAAAATGGTTACCTATTTATTGTTCCATGAATTCATATAACTATGTAAATATATGTTATTTGTAATAATCAAAAGATTGACTAGGTATTTGATAAGCATTTCTTTATAAGCCCTAATATAACATTTCTAATGCCACTGTATTTTTATTTTAAATCAGTTAACTGTTTATAATACATTCATTCCTATTAAGATGGTTCACAAAATTAACACACATTTTAAAACCGTTTAATTAACCGACTTCAAAAAGGTCCTATATTCTACTGTGTGTATTTTTTATGTATGTTCACTGATTATTCCGTCAATAAAATTGTAGACCGATTTTCAAATATTTTTTTAACTAATATATGGAGTTTTTAAATAAAAATAATATAGTTCCGTTTATATAAATGAAAATAAATCTAAACAATTATAGATATGTTTTAATAGTCAGGAGACAGAGCCAAAAATAAGACTGTCGTGAAGTTAGTTATTGTTCGATTTAAACGATTACAGTAAAAACAGTATAAAGTATGAACGTATTTTTTGTTGCTTGCGGTATTTCTGGACCGATACGTCCAAGTTACGTTACGTTACGTTACGTTACAGATGGTTACAAGAAAAGATCATACTCCCACACAGATTACCTCCCACCTCGACGGCCAGCAAAGCACTTGTGTCAATTTTTGAATTGCAGGTGTCCATGGGTCGCGTCTGCTCGGTTGCCCCCTATCTATTCCATAGAAAAAAACTATAATTATTTTGATGTGATTTTGACTACAATGGTAAAATTAAATGAGTTTGCAGTTGTCCATTATTTTAATTTCTTTATAAAATTCTTATCAAGTATTCAAGAGTCTATATCTATAATACAAAATATTTAGGTACATTAGTGTCAGAACGATTTTGCGGGATTGCAGAAATGAATAACTTCAACAATCTGTGCTTGTTTTATTTTGCTGTAGTAATATTCTTTCTTGCAACGAACGTAAACTACAAAAAACAATGCAGTTTTTGCAGACAGACTAAGCAATTTTAAGAAGTTATTTTATGTTATTTTTGAAGAAAAATTGTAGCTGTAAATTTAATACGATAATTTGGAGATAATCTATCTGTATCTCTATATAAGTGAAGAGAATTCTTTCATTTAAAACACACACACACACACAAATAAAAAATTTAAAGTACTAAAAAGTTATCTGAAGAAGAATTGTAATCAGCTAATTATATTCAACAAAGTGTGGATATATTTTGACCTGTCATCTATACAAATAAATAAAACTGGAGTGTCTTTTGTTTGTAATATTAAAATAACCGCAACTAAATGCATATGTATGTTAACACGGAACATATGCCAAAATATCATTTTTTATAATTTTTGTCTGTCTGTCTGTCTTGTAATCTCTGGAACGTCTTCTGGATTTCGACGGAACTTTCACTGGCAGATAGCTGATGATATAAGGAGTTGCTTATGCTACTTTTTTTAAGACTAGCTTCGGCCCGCGGTTATAACAACAAACGCGGGTAATACCGCGGGTCTCAGCTAGTTAAACAAAAATCTACATGGACAGTTCAAATTATATTGATGACACAAAAAACATTAAAAACAATTGCAAAACATTTTTTGATACTACGTTTTGATCAAAACATTCCGAACGTGTCATAGGCGGAGATTTAGCGAAAGCTACAAGGATAAAATGATTATCTTATTAATAATAACATAATCATATATTATTATCCCTGTAGCTTCCGCTAAATCGGATTTATCTCTGTAGTTATACATTTCTTTACACAATTGTATTTAATTATTTATTGTATTTATTTTACTTCGTATGAATGTAACCCCTCTTTATACAACTCTATAAGTATCTATAAGCAGTAATCATAACTACAATAGTGCTCTTCTGACCGTACACACTTATGTGTGATTGTATATTATTGGGTTTTGTAAATCGTGTAGTGACTGATTAAGAATATAGAGTGGCAACGCCCCTATTCATGGCGTGGGTATCTCAAGAGCCGACTCAGGAAGCAAATTACACAGGACAACATCACTGCAAAGAGGAGGACAAACTTGAAACAAACCCTATAAGGACTTATCTAGCCAGCGTAGTATAGTAGGCCAAAACCTCCTTTCTAAGGAGATAAATTGACTATGCTATGATTTTATTATTTTTCAAAGATAGGAATGTTATCTGTATTACATAAACGTATTCAATTTAGTTTATAAGATTTTATAACATGTTTGTGAATATTACAAATTTTCTAATGAATGTTTGGATCTAAAGTATTGGAACGAAGTTCCTTATCGCGCGTTGTGAAAGGGGACTAATTTCTCATGAAAAGTTGTAACGTCACTTTTTTATTTTGAATTGTCACTTGTCAGTCATTCAGCGCCATCTATAAATGTATAAATTGTTTTAATTAGAAACCAACTGAAAAATATGTAGGTAATAGCCGCTTTCATAGATGCCGTTGTAATTAAAATCGTGTCGAATCAGTTTTACTCGATCGTCACAACTTCGTCCCTATCGGGTGTCCCACGACACCACACGGCTCTTTTTTATACTTCTTTAAAGACTCAAGTTATTTTCAAAATTAATTAACCTTTGAAGTAGATTTAAAATAGAACCAAATAAACTAAAAGGGGGCTGCTAAGTAAAGCTGTGTAACACTCGTATACACACAAATTACACGCATTGAAAACCTCTTACTGTTAGAACAAGAAGAAAAATTCTAACGTATGCCAATGTGTTTTTAACGACGTGACCCACTCGTCAATCATTTTTCTGGAATGTAAATCTATCATTTTATGTGTTTGTTCGTGTTCTGATCTAATTTTGCACAAAGTTGTCTAAACAGGACACAGAAGTGATGGATTGGACAGATAACGAATGTTTTTTATCAAACACCTTTTTTATTATGAGTTGTTAGCCTTTCGGGCACGGCTGCTTCGGGATCTACCTGCACAATGCCGCTAGGAGGGAATTGAGTCCCGCTTGTCACCACTGACTGCACGGATGGCGTAGTGGCTTAAGCGGTCACCACGCCGCTTACTGCTACTCTAAGTGCTATGGGTCCAATCCCCACATGGGACTACACTTTGTGTGATCCACAAATTGTTGTTCTGAGTCTGGATGTTTTTTGTGTCCGTTTCATGTATGTTCGTAAAGTCCTCCGAGACACAGGATATACTTATTCCTAATGCGGGAGTTGTCTTTTTTAAAAATAAAAAACAAATAACTGCGTTTACAGTGAGGACTCAGTTCAGCACAAAATTTGCGTGGTTTGGGCATTTCAGTCATCGGAGAGGATCTCTCGTTGCCGGTCATCATACGTTCCATGGCCGGTAGCAACAGATTTTTTACAAGAATAATGTGATGTCAATTGCATAAAAAAATCATGAGAAACCGAACACCGCAGCTAGTAATCAGATAAACGTAACAATTCTTCACACAATATTATTTAAACACAACATATTGATAAAGTACGTAACACAACTCTTTCACCATAAATTATAAACTTTTTCGTATAAAAACATTCAACAAAAACTCTTTTGATTGTCGATGTGGACCATAGACTACATGTGGGGGCGACCTGATTTATAGAGTCACTTTTTGTTGATTAATTCAAAATTAGGGGCTATCTCACTTTACTGAAGTTAATTGGGACTGACTAATGTGTTTTTAACAAATGTATCTATGGTGTTTTTTAAAACACTTTATACTTTTTTGGGTTTTAAAGCAGAAGGGAGTTTAAGTGTCTCAAATACTAAGTGCGGCTTCGATAAAAGAGTTGATCGTCCAATTAGAATTTTAATATTACAGATTATTCAGAGTGTTTACTTTTTTTACGTTGCGTTGTCTGGTGTAACTAGGCAGTGCCTGCACTACGACAATTAGATTGCTTATGAAAATATTGATATATTCCAGAATACATACATATTTTGGTGACGGATTAAGAGATCTGTGTGGTGACGGATTAAGAATACGGAGTGTCACCACCCTCATTTATCCCGTGGGTATAGTAAGAGCTGACTGAGGGAGAAAACTATGCAAAACAAAAGCACTATAAAGAGGCGAAAAACTTGACACAAACCCATATAACCCTTAGTATAGTAGGCTAAAAACTCATTTCTAAGGAGATGCCTACCTCCAGCAGTGGACTATTAAAGGCTGTTGGTGTGAAGTGATATATTTTGTAGACAAATACACCCTGACACAGACAAATACTGTTGTTGATCAAACCAACGATTTCTAGCTCAGCGTTTATAATAGATAAACAGGCTTTTCAATAAAAGACTTACCGCATTTAATTTAATTTACTTTTATTAGCTCCATTAAAGAAAAACACTGTAGTGTCACACTTTCTATATTCGCCAATGTATACATAAAAATATATTCTGTCTGTTTTAAGACCTTGTTCAAAAGATTTGAAGCTTGTAGAAGAGGAATAAAATGGCAAATATGTTTTGGCCAATGTTCGAGCTAAGCACTGAGACGTGATATGGTCTCCCCAGCGGTTCCTGCCTCAGCTTAAGTTAGGAACAAGTATTCTCAACGATTTCAATACCTGAGGATTATTCACGACAACAAATTCCTTGAAGAATTTCTTTCCTTCAGAAGTATTTTTTTGTAATTCATCAAGTAACAAACATAGTTGGCAAAATAAACGGAAGTGTAATGGTT